TAAATTAGTGGGTATGTTATGTAAATTACTAAATTGTCCTCCTTTTAAATATTATTATAATATTATTTTTATTATTATTTTTTGAATCATTTTTTTAACCCTCTACATTTGAGATTTTGCTAAAACACTCCAGCCATATAAAAGTTTAATTTCTAACAAAATCACCCTCACTCACCCCAAGCCACTGCCGATCGTCGGCAGTCGCTATAACGATGCACAATCGATCGGATCTAGCAGGTTGTGCACCGATATGACCGTTTCTAGCCAAATCAATAGCCGAAAACGGCCAGTGGCTTTGGATCTTGCTAGATTAATGGCCATTAACGGCTCTGCCCAGAAATGGCCAGATCCGTGGTTGTTGTGCGCCATGGATATGGTCGTTAATGGCCATGGATCTGACTGTTTTTACTAGAATTACATGCACATCTGACAAGATCCGATAGGTCATGCGCTATTCCGACGACCTCCACCAATGGTCGTTGCCAGTGGTTGGCCAGCGGGCGACGATGCTCTTGGGTGGCCTACAATTTGTTTTAAATATAAAGACATTATTGTTAAAAAAACTTAATTAATTAAGGGTTGTTTGGATCAGGGGTAAATAAGATAACGAGGGTAATCTTCGTTTATTTTGCAATATTACTGTGTTTGGTTTGCAAGTAATGAATTTTAGTAATCTTTAATTGCAAATAGTGGTTACTATTGATAATGTGGAGGGTAATCTTATTACCTTACTAGGGGGTGTTATTAAAATATTACCGGGGTAATTTGAATTTTCTACCCATTTTGCCCTTAATTAAAAACCATTTCAGACACAATTGCTCTCAAATGTCTACCAAATAACAATTACCCAGCCCCCCTACATTTGAGAAATTAGCTAAAACACCCCAACCACTTAAAAGTTTAAAAGTTAACAAAATACCCCTAGACACCCAAGACCATCGCCAAACGTGACTCACCACCGCGGACCATCAACGTTAGTCGTTGTAATGGTTCACGACCGGCAAGATCTAACCTGTTGTGCATCGATAAAGCTTTTTTGGATCATGGATCTGTGATCCATTGCTGAAAACAGCCAGATCTGGCTTTTCTATTGTCGTTTCATGGCCAAAGATGTGGCCATGAAACAGCCACAGATCTGGCCATGAAAAGGTCATAGATCTGGCCATTTTCCGGCCATGGATTTGTGATTCATGGCCATTTTTGGCTTTGCTGGCGCACGACTGGCCATATTACATCGACTGCCAGTGGCAACCGACAGTGTTGATTGGCCATCGGCAATGGAATGGGGTGGATGAGGGTGATTTTGCTATAAATTAAAGTTTTATATGACTGCGATATTTTAGCAAAATTTCAAATGTAAGGGGTTAAAAAAATGATTAAAAAAAATAATAAAAAATACTATTATATTAATATTTAAAAAAGAGAGTAATTTAATAATCTATATAACATATCCACGAATTTATTCTCCCAACTAAACATATTATTCACTAATTTATTTTAACCAACCAAACACATTTTCTAAATATTCAAAGTAATCTTCAAGGTGATCTTTCCTTCCGTTAATATAATATACCCCTATAATAAAATATTATATGGTCCAAATGCCCCCTTAGGGGTAAAATTGTAATGATCGGTTTATGTAAATTAATTTTGGAATAAGAGCATTATTGTTCAAAAAATTTAATAGTTAAGGGTAAAATTGTAACAAAATTAAGATTACCAAGTAATTTTAAAATATCTAAAAAAATGACAGTAGTTAAATTATCACCTATATAACTAATAGTAATTACTATTAATTTTGAAAGATTATCTAAATCTTATATTACTTGACAACTAAACGTGATAATGTAAATACAGTAAAACCTCTTTATAGTGATACTTTATATAGGAATAAACTCTTTATAGAATAAAAAAATTTAGTTCCAATTTAGGATAGTTATAAACAAGAATAAACTTCACATTGTAATCAGTTATAATTTTTCTAATTCTCATCTTAAAGAAAGTTGCCTCCACACAGTAATAATTATCTGTATATTGCAAAAATATATATGCTACATTACATTAAAGGTTTAAAATGAAATAAAATATTTATCTAAAATTGTTTGGGATAATGATTTATTCTTTAGAGTTGTTACGACACTTTTTAACTTGCGGGTATGTAATAATTCGCTAGTATGAACATCTTCTTGTTGAAACCAAAATATTTCTAACTTTTCAAGTATGTTTAAAGTCTCATGATACGAAACTTTTTGTATTTCTATACTATCATCCTTAGGATTATTTCATTTCTCTTATGGTCTAATTGTAGCAATGATTTCTTCTTTACTTAAAGCATATACGACTTGTTGCTCATTTGGGTGATCGAGGAAGACATTAATATGCATTCGATTAGTGTAGTAAAGTTGTCGAATCTGATCACTCAATTCTGCAATAAGTCTTTTATTCTCCACATTCACTTTATTTGTAACTTGTAATTCATCGACACCATGGGTCCTAATTTTGTAGTGCTTAAAACAATTGACAATTATTTGTAGCTTTGCATCAATTGACCATACAGCAACTGCATTTACAATTTTATTAAGGATACTTTTCTTTTCTGGTTCCAATACATGATCTTCTATCAATTTCAAAAATAAACGATTAAAACGTTGACTATAATAACCTTTGAAATTTCTAATGATGCCTGCATCACGCAGCTGGATTTTGGAAGTGCTAACTGGTGGTAGAAACAGAACAGTTGTGTGATACTAATACTAATACCAATACTACTAAAATAATTAATTGAAATCCTAATACACACTATTAAAATATGAATTATAAAATAAGAAATCAAAATATTAATTTTTGTAACTATACTTTTATTAAGATATAATCTTCTTATATTAATAAATTAGTTTGATCCTACTATTATAACTATAAAAATTGTTTACTGTAATATAAAATGACATTACTTTGTGGGATTGCTCTCAACCGAACACACCCTCATATTACCAGAGAAGTGTGCGTGTCGTATTTTTGATAGGGAAAATGATAGAATTATAGAAAGTTATACACTAAATTCGTGCATCAAATGACGTAATAAAATCTTAATCGTTAATTAATATTAACTTATAATAAATCAATGGTCATGATTTTACTACGTTATTTGATGAATAAATTCGGTACGCACCTTCGTTGATTTCATTATTACTCTTTTGATAGATCTTTCCGGAGGAAGAAAAAAAAAAAAAAAAAAAAAGAGAGGAGAAAAGTTGACGTGGGTTTTAAGAAAAAGTGGGAAAGCACTTATTTGCAGTTTGACCGGACAATATTCCACTTTTCGGAAAATATTATTATTGCATTTCCATCCCATCCTAACGCCGCTTTACCACATACCTAGATTTACTGTTCACTTTCTTAAATTTGATCAAACAACCTCATCTAATCAAATTTTAGTTACCAACCTAAAGTAATTGATGTTGGTTTTACTAATAATCTTACAACAGATGGACAATTTTCATTTGTCAAGAATAACTTGTTCAATAAATCAAAGAAGCCGTTGAAGGATATGGAATGGTATGGTCCACTCTTCTTAATTCGAGATACGTTCAACATTTTTTCACCTAAGGTTTGATAAAGCGACTTTTTCGTCTGTTAAGTTTCAAAACGACACTTTCTCACCCATGTTAAGATCTCTCAGTCAAGTTTAACTGAAGAAAGGTATAAGAGTAAATTCAAAAAATAATTAAAGGATAATTATGTCATTTTATCCACCATATATAAACTTAGAAAAAAAAAAAACTATTTCCAATTCATAAAAACAAGCTAATACTCTTAAACATATTAAGAGATTATATAAAACAAAGCACTAATATAACAACCTAAAACATGAAAAATAAAAAGAAAGAAATTATCTCCAAACAAGACAACTCTAGAACACCAGTCCTTAATCCACCTAAAACTCTTCTTGAAAGACCCTTTAACTGTAACTTTGCCTGACTGCCTTCAACAGTGTAAACCTTATAACTAGCAACCCGCAGTCAACTTCTTGAAGAAGACCCATTTGCTGACTTTCCTTTCTTGAACTTGACATCATTGGTTTATACAATGGATTTTCCTAACGGAATATAACGGTGAATGGGAAATTGTCGTTATAAAACTTGAAGGATGGAAAAAGTGGCTTTTCGAAACCTGGTGGGTGGAAAATGTCTTTTCGCCAAACCCTGGGTGGGACAATTCATTCTCCCTGTACAAAATTCCTTCCTATAACTAATCCAATTCCTTCCTATAACTAATCCACAAATATTATTATTTTATCAAATGTTGATAACTAAAGAACGCCATGTTTCGTGTGCACCAATACCATTGTATAATAATACCGACTAATTAAATATATTCAATAATATTATATAATTCATTTAAATTTAAATTAAAGACAATTTTTAATAAATTATTAAATTTAAATAGATACATATTTGAAAATTTAATTGAAAAATAATTACAAATTCATTTAACTTAATGTTAATGATATAGAAAACACCTTATTGTATATAGTATAATACTATATAATATTATTTTCTTAAATACATTACTATACTTTATAATAACTAGCATGCACCAAAGAAGTCCTTATAACCCAAAAAAAAAAAATATTCCATTATAAATAAAATTTAACTTAAAATTAGTGAAATAAGTTATTAAATATTGGGAGATAATTTTTTATAATAATTAATAAAACATAAATATGTGAGATTCTTCTAAAGACAGAAGCTCCAATAAGTTTTTGCAGCTGAAAACCAAAACATATTTTATTTATTATATTTATGAATTTGATAACGACCTATGGGCAAATTTGGTAAGCGGCTTATTTGGTGGCTACCTCCGAAGAATCACCAAATTCCGGTCAATTCCCAATAAAAATAATTAAATAAACCTCCAAATGTTTTTAATTTCTTACATCAATATTTATGTAATTACCAGAATGTCCCACTCTCCAACTTTGCAATTAGCATCTTCTTCTCTTCTGCTGTTCATTTTAAAGATTTTTCAAATCAAATTAATAATCAAACTCAACACACCATTGAATTGGAATCTGGGTCCTTACCTCTCTGACAACACAACTTCTACCATTTCCTTAATTCAGCCGTTTTTTTTTCCGTTATTATTCTCTTAATTCAGGTACCTTTTCTTCTCTTCCTTCTTCTTCTTTTTTAATTATTTCAATTTGATTTGTCTAGGGTTTAATTTTTATTATACTTTTTTTTTTTTTCAGATTATTTTCTGCTTATTTATTTATAAACAATCAAGACTGGTGTAATTCAGAAATTGATTATGATTGCTGTAGTTTTTGGGTTTTGTAACCAAGCTGAAAACTTGTTTTCTTGGAGTTATCGTTTGTGTGTGGAATGAGAAAGTTTATTCAGTGTGATCTAAATATTTTCTGTTTTCATTTCATTATCGAGAACAGAGAGCTGAGTGGGCTTTGGTGAGATAAGATTTTGTTGCCGCTTGTTTATTATTGAGGTATTTTATTTTTTTCAGTTGATAATTTAATTTCCTGTTTTCTAAGATGATAGGAGGAAACATTGTTTCGATGTTAATTACTTTTTTTTTTTTTTTTTTTTAATCTTTGATATTAATTGGAAGGTTGATACCCTAATGAAAATACTGCATCCGCCTTTTAAAACTGTAATAAATGCTACGTCACTGTTATGGAAAGTGAAGTAAGAGAGTTGTATGAAATTTGTACTGCATCTTTAATACCCCTCTCCGAGCTGCTGTTTTGAGAGGACTGAGACTGGATAATAACCAAATTTCTGAGGAATTACACGTCTAACTTCAAGCTATTATCAGCTAAAAATGTTTATTTTTTTGAAGGTGTAGGTTGAGGGAGTAGGATTAGACAGTTCAGTAATTTTCTAAGTCTTTCTGTGTTGTTTGCTCAGATTTTTGAGCCAGTAGAGAATTTGTAATGCATAAAATGAATTGTGGAAGAGGAGAGATCTTGTGATTGGTAGTCTGAAAACCAGTGAATTTGAAAGCACCCTTTTTTATTTGTTCTGTGGTTGCAATTGGGTAAAGTATTGGTATAAGTCTGTCTTTTGTCATCAACAATTGGATGTATCTTTCTTACACCTATGCCAGGATGTCTGGTTTTGTGCTCATTTTAAATGATAGATTGGTTTTGTGTTTCAAGGGCCTTTCATGTATTATTGGGTTGAACATCTTAATAACCAGTGCTCAGTTAATTTCATCTTCATTCTGCGTAGACAAATTTAGTGGTTACATTAAAGATCTTTTGCAATAAGAAAGGGAAAGCATGTAATTTATATTTATCTAAATATGAGGTAAGTTTAAATTTTACTATAGAAGTATTTATTTTGAGATAAATATTATCTTGGTTGTCGAAAGATGAGAATAAAAGTTTAATGTGATTATGTGCTGAATTGCTGACAATACACCTGATTTACTGACTAAGAAACTTGTTAAAAGCTAATCTGAAAATTGAATACATGGTACAAGTATGAGATTGTAGGATGAACTGCTGATAGTGCTCAAATAAACTCAACTTAGCCTTCATGCCAAACTAGTCGAGGTGTTTACATGAATCTAAGGCAATGTTCATGTGCCTATAGATTTGTATTAGCTGTCAACCTATTGCAATCCTCTTCCATCATCTGGGCTTGGGACTAGCTGTGCAAGAGCATGATGCTGCATGCAATGCAGGCAGAGTTAGCTGCAAACAGTAAAATACCAAATTAAGCAGGTGTCTATCTGATATAGAAACTGAATCTTATTAATATTTGATTGTTGAACTCAAAAGCTAAATGCAGTGCATCTTTTTAAGATAGTGGCATGACACAATAGAAGGAAGTGAACAGGAGCCAAGTCATGATGTTTGGGATCATGCTTTTCCCTTTATTTATTTCCGCTGATCCATTTACATTTTCTCTGCATGTGTGTGTATGCATTGCAAAGGATCTGCTTGGGAAAGNATTTCATTATCGAGAACAGAGAGCTGAGTGGGCTTTGGTGAGATAAGATTTTGTTGCCGCTTGTTTATTATTGAGGTATTTTATTTTTTTCAGTTGATAATTTAATTTCCTGTTTTCTAAGATGATAGGAGGAAACATTGTTTCGATGTTAATTACTTTTTTTTTTTTTTTTTTTTAATCTTTGATATTAATTGGAAGGTTGATACCCTAATGAAAATACTGCATCCGCCTTTTAAAACTGTAATAAATGCTACGTCACTGTTATGGAAAGTGAAGTAAGAGAGTTGTATGAAATTTGTACTGCATCTTTAATACCCCTCTCCGAGCTGCTGTTTTGAGAGGACTGAGACTGGATAATAACCAAATTTCTGAGGAATTACACGTCTAACTTCAAGCTATTATCAGCTAAAAATGTTTATTTTTTTGAAGGTGTAGGTTGAGGGAGTAGGATTAGACAGTTCAGTAATTTTCTAAGTCTTTCTGTGTTGTTTGCTCAGATTTTTGAGCCAGTAGAGAATTTGTAATGCATAAAATGAATTGTGGAAGAGGAGAGATCTTGTGATTGGTAGTCTGAAAACCAGTGAATTTGAAAGCACCCTTTTTTATTTGTTCTGTGGTTGCAATTGGGTAAAGTATTGGTATAAGTCTGTCTTTTGTCATCAACAATTGGATGTATCTTTCTTACACCTATGCCAGGATGTCTGGTTTTGTGCTCATTTTAAATGATAGATTGGTTTTGTGTTTCAAGGGCCTTTCATGTATTATTGGGTTGAACATCTTAATAACCAGTGCTCAGTTAATTTCATCTTCATTCTGCGTAGACAAATTTAGTGGTTACATTAAAGATCTTTTGCAATAAGAAAGGGAAAGCATGTAATTTATATTTATCTAAATATGAGGTAAGTTTAAATTTTACTATAGAAGTATTTATTTTGAGATAAATATTATCTTGGTTGTCGAAAGATGAGAATAAAAGTTTAATGTGATTATGTGCTGAATTGCTGACAATACACCTGATTTACTGACTAAGAAACTTGTTAAAAGCTAATCTGAAAATTGAATACATGGTACAAGTATGAGATTGTAGGATGAACTGCTGATAGTGCTCAAATAAACTCAACTTAGCCTTCATGCCAAACTAGTCGAGGTGTTTACATGAATCTAAGGCAATGTTCATGTGCCTATAGATTTGTATTAGCTGTCAACCTATTGCAATCCTCTTCCATCATCTGGGCTTGGGACTAGCTGTGCAAGAGCATGATGCTGCATGCAATGCAGGCAGAGTTAGCTGCAAACAGTAAAATACCAAATTAAGCAGGTGTCTATCTGATATAGAAACTGAATCTTATTAATATTTGATTGTTGAACTCAAAAGCTAAATGCAGTGCATCTTTTTAAGATAGTGGCATGACACAATAGAAGGAAGTGAACAGGAGCCAAGTCATGATGTTTGGGATCATGCTTTTCCCTTTATTTATTTCCGCTGATCCATTTACATTTTCTCTGCATGTGTGTGTATGCATTGCAAAGGATCTGCTTGGGAAAGAGAGATTACAAGAATCATAAGTGATTAATTCAGATGAGGATTTGACTCATTAAAATTCGACTAGGACTAGGGAAAAATGGGTTCATACATTTATTACACACTTCAATGTCTACTTGTTCTGACTATATATTTTCAAAATATTGAGAAATAACGATGGTAGCCAATTATGGAGGAACTGTGTTCAAGTTTTTTGTTGTAGAAGGCTTCACTGCTATGTTGATGCTTGATTTCCTGTCTGTTCCTGATTCTTTTATGTTGATGGTCATTTTTTATTCTGTACACAGTATCTCCTGTTGGAGAATTTCAATTTCCTAGCAGCTTACTGTGGGTTTGGTTTCTTCATAGTGTAGGTGCAGAGAATCTCACTGGTTGTCCAAAACGAGTTTCTTCATTTTGTGGTTTAGCATGCTTTCTCAAAGATCAGCAACGTGAGATAAATTACTTTAGTGCTTGAAATTGCGAGGTTATAAAGGTACATTCTATGCCCTTTCTTGCTTGATATTTGTGTTTATTAGCTTTTTACCAGGCCAAGCGGACTTTTTTATCTTATGAATTTCATCTCCAGTGTCATCTTTTATTCTAAAGGTACCTTGGTGGTGCTAGTGAAAAGGAAATTAGTGTGAATAAATCAATGGAGAGAGAGAGAGAGAGAGAGAGGGAAGTTTAATGGTGAATCAGGAATTTTGTGATTTAATCTCTGTAATTAGTCATAATTCTTTGGTAATCTTGAGTGGTTAGGCTGGTGGTTTGTTCCCACAAGGTTTAGAGTTCAATTACCCTGAAACCAACCTGGTGAATAGCCTTGCATTTCTTGCTTTCTTAAGATCTTAGTGCTTGGTGCAAGGGTCATGGTTCAATCTTCTAATTTATCCTTGGATTTATTTTCTTGTGGGAACATCTTTTAATACTTTTAGCCATTATACATGTTGCTTTAAGGGTGTCTAAATTAGATTTCCAGTTTTTTCTTTAAATATTGTTCTCTGCTTTTTCTATCCCTTTTCAATTGCAATATATTTTACCCTTTTATACTGCATGACATCCTTTAATTTTGTTTTTTGTCAGTGTAAGAATTGTGTGAGCATATTATTGGGCTTATCAATGATCGTTGCTATATGCAAAAACATGTACATACATAAGAATAGCATGATAACTATGCATGTGAGTATTTTTTAATTTTGGATATTACTGAAGGGAACTTCATATCAGTATTAGTTGTTGCTCTCCTAAATAATTTTAGAAGTTAATCAAAACTGAATGATGGAATTAGGGTATTACATTGAGGCTGTGTATGGTGTCATGGAATTTGTTCTTAATGATTGGAAATTGAAGTCATTATCTTTAGAAAAGGGACTGCTAACTTTTCCAGTTTCAAGGAGCTAGTTCCATGATGCTGAACAGAACATAAGCAGCGCTTGGATTGCCTGAAGTGTCAAACTTGGATATGAACTAACCCCATTAACCATTTTCAGTCAAAGTCTGCAATGAATCATGTTGACAAATCATTTCACATATAAGGATCTGGTTTCCATATGTGAAAGAAGTTAAGCATTTGCAAGCTATGGAAGCATAAAGCTTATGACGAATTAACACGTTACTTGCTTTGGTTGTAAGATTTCTGTATCTGGCAACTTTATGCTGCCAAATGCAAAAAATGTTGAATTAATGTGTGCTTCTGTGGAAGTAGTTACAGGTTAATATCAACATACATCTCGGTGACTTCTTGATTGAACATTATGTTAAGAAAAAAATAGCTAAGGGACTAAAGGTGTTAGAAAATTTATTGGTGCTTCTTTCTTCATGGTTGTATTCAATATGCTTACGTTCAACTAATGTTCTAGATTATGCATGGGCAGTTCTTAAGCTCTGCAATGTCCATTGGCAGATTTTTCTTAGTTATAACCTGTTTGTATGATAGGAAATAAAGAGATGTATGAGAAAGTATGAGAAATATTAAATTAGGAAAAAGAGAGTGAAAAGGAAAGTACTTTTGAGGCTTATGGTTGACACAAATGCACCCTAAGGATGCAAAGATTAGCGTAAGAGTGGGAGAGAGTTTGTAGAACGTTGACCTTAAAATTCGTGCATAAATCAAAAGTGCCTTCTGAATGGTTTTTATTAGAGCATTTTTTCTCATGAGTGCAATCATAAAATCTTTGCTTTCTGTTGGCTTCAAAACGAAAAACCAGCTATATCTGATGGGTGTGACTTAAATTCTGTTTTTTCTTTTCAACTTGGTTTAGAGTCTTCCAATGCCTAGTGTATGTAATCTCCTATATGGATGCTACTTCGCTGCTTGACCACTGATAATGTTAAATAATTTAATGTTTGATAGCTACAAGCTTGACCACTGATAATGTTAAATAATTTAATGCTTGATAGCTGCAAAATGTAAACATGTAAAAGATGGATCTTACCCCTTCCCCACCACCCCCACCTTACAAAAAAAAAAAGAAAGACAAGATTGTTGAAAATGCTTCAAGTTTTTTATTTGATAATCTTGATCAGTGCACATGCACTTCAGCCACTCATTAAGTTAGGATCCCGCTTTGAGAGGGAAAAGGGGTGGACATGTGGTTTATAAGGAGTTGAGCACCCTTCCTTTGCAAGCCGGTTTTTCAAAGAGAGTTCTATTCAAGCCCACAAAAAGATCACTGCCCAGCACAATTCCTATCAAAGGCCCACTACCCAGTCCAATTCCTATCAAATGGTATCAGAGTAGGCCCCACCTTTCGAGCCCACGCAACAAGGCCTAGTGGGCCCCTTGAAGGGCCGAGAAGGTGAGTTGCTAACAAGCTTCTAGGCGAAGTAAGACCCAAAGGGAGGGCAGTATAGGTCAATGAGGGTAGGGTAGCTAATAAGGGCAGGTGCTCTCTGGAAAGAAGACGAACTAGGGCGTTGAATCTCGAAACGTGGGGGAATGTTAAGATCCCACATTGAGAGGAAAAAGGGGTGGGCATGTGGTTTATAAGGAGTTGGGCACCCTCTCTTGGCAAGTTTTGTTTTTCAAGGAGAGTTTTATCCAAGCCCACAAAAAGCCCACTATCCAGCCCAATTCCTATCAAAGGCCCACTGCCTAGCTCAATTCATATCAATTTGGAAGTGGGTTCCTATCACATTTCAAGCCAAGAGTTGAAGGCATCTCAATCTGATTGGGTTGTTGGACTGGAGGACAGTAAGAGTGGTGTTATTAACTTGAAAAATTAGTGACAAATTAGAAGTATCCAATATGTTAATTGGTAAAATCTATCAATTTAAAATTTTTTCATCAGTCCATATAGATGGTATGTGGTCAATCCAATGGTGTTTTGAGATTAATGAACTAAATAATAATTATCTACTCAAATATTTGAACTTCATAATTTAGTTCACATATTGGATCGATCAATTTTGGTTTTTTTTTTTTTTTTGGCTCCAAAGAAGCTTATATGATATGTTGCTTTTAAATGCCTGGTACTTTAGCCATTTTAAGTTTAGATATATAATAGCATTCCTTTCTCTTTGTGGTATTGTTTTAACTCTTTCATTGATGCAGGTGTGATGGAGATATCATTGTTAAAAGTGCTTCTGAAAAATATCTCTTCATTTTTACATTTATCATCTTTTGACAACATAAATTTGGACCCTGTTCAGAAGTATTACCAGAGAGCAGAAGAGATATTTAAGTTGTTGAAGCCAATACTTGATGCTATCATTGATTCTGAAATAGCTTCTGATGAAGTGCTTAATAAGGCATTTGAAGAGTTTGGCCAATCTATTGATGAATTAAGGGAGCTCTTTGAAAGCTGGCAACCATTGTTGAGTAAAGTTTATTTTGTAAGTTAACAAATTGTAATTTCAGTTTATGATTTTGTGATTATGCAGCTGATTTATCTTTCTGACCAAGTTAATGGAAAAAATTCTAAGTTCACTTGTAAGGGGTAGCATTAATAATTAGTGTTTGTTTGATCAATACAAACATCTTCCCATAGTTTGTTTATTTTGTCATGTTTAGTCTGGTCATTTTATGGTTATATTTTTTGTTATAAAAGGGAGACCTCTGCTCTGTCAATTGACCTTTTATATTCCTTGATTTGTTTTTCCTCTTTCTATTTTGTTTTCAGTAATGTATGAAAGAATTTAGGTTGTCCTTGTCTTTCACATGCTTATTCATTATCTCAAGTTAGTAATATGGTATGAATTAAATTTTAAACCACTGAATTATCTTAATCTAGTATCGATGAGTTGACAACATTAGATGTGTTTTTCCACGTATTTTATTATTAGATCACATGAATGGTAGTTAATATCCTATAGAAAGTGGTGGTGGCAGCAGTGTGGTTGTCACCAGCTGACAGAAGGGTGTCAGTGGAGGTGAGAAGGGTTGGGTGTAATGGTGTTACCATTTGATTGTTTCTGTAGGTGGCAGTAGTTGCCAACAACTTCAAAATGATAATGGAGGTGGAGGTAGAGGTGGTGTTGATGGTGACAGTCCTAATGATGCTATGGTTTAGGTGCTAGAGCTGCTGGTTCTGTTTGTAATGGATGTGAGAGATGGAAGGACAATGAAAGAGATTGTTGAACTTCTGTCAGTGGGATATGAAGATTTATCTTTTGTTTTGAAGATAATTTGAATTTGTAATCCAGGGTAATTTATTTCAACTAAAAGGTTGCGACAAAAATAGATTGGTCCTTATGGTTACTTGCAGTTCCACCATGTGTAGACTCACTAGACTTTTAGAGTAACTTCACCGCATGAGTTCTTAATGTTGAGAATAATCTCTTTCTCATTACCATGATGTCAGGTTCTGCAAGTTGAATCATTGATTTCAAAAACACGGACTTCTGCCTGGGATATTCTCCAGCTGCTAAACCGTTCGCATCACTATCTTCCTGATGAATTGAGTTCAGCATCGCTTGAGGTACTTTTTGACTAGAAATCTTAGTTGAAGTTGTTACTTTAGCAGTTTTAATTCAAAGAGTAGCCCTCAGATTCACAGAATGATCACTCATAAGTTGCATTAATTATATGAAAAGCCGTTTGTCAGATGGCTATATTGCAAATTCAATGTAACTTTTGAGTGTGAAAGAATTTATTGTAAGACCTTTGGTAGATTTCTGTGTTGGGCTAATTGATGGTTAAATCCCATTTATGATGAACTCTTGAGGGTTGGCCTGAGTGGCTTATCAGCTTGGCTTCAGGCCATCATGAAGCATCATCCTGGTTGGAATCCTACCACCAATAACTTGTTTCATCCCCAGCCCCAGGGATCTTTTCTTAGGAACTGCCCTGTACGTTTGGAACAGTAGCCTTTACATTTCCGAAACTAATTTGGTGCTCAAAGGACCCTGGAAATATTGTGACAAACATATGTAAAAATAAAATAAAAATTTCCATTTATGATGAATAACAATTGAAATGACTGATTGCAGCTTTGCCAACAGAAAATTAAGCATATGGAATATTCACAAGCATCATCTCCCATCATAGAAGCTAAAAGAGATCAAGCGGATGGTGTCACACCCAGCTCAGAGATCCTGGTAAAAATTGCAGAGAGCCTGAGCTTGAGGTCAAACCAGGAGATTCTGATAGAGGCTGTGGCCCTTGAAAAGTTGAAGGAGAATGCTGAACAAGCTGAAAAGGTTGAGGAAACTGAGTTTATGGATCAAATGATTACCCTTGTAACCCGCATGCATGATCGCCTTGTTGTGATGAAACAGTCGCAGATCTGTAGCCCAGTCCCTATACCTCCTGATTTCTGCTGTCCTCTTTCCCTTGAGTTGATGACAGATCCAGTGATTGTGGCATCTGGGCAAACATATGAGCGGGCCTTCATAAAGAAATGGATTGAACTTGGCCTCACTGTTTGCCCTAAGACACGTCAGACTCTGGCTCATACCAACTTAATACCTAATTACACTGTAAAGGCACTAATTGCAAACTGGTGTGAATTAAACAATGTGAAGCTGCCTGATCCCATGAAGACTATGAGCTTAAACCAACACTCGCCTCTTCTTGTGCATGCAGATTCTAATGCACCTAGAGATGCACATCTTTTTCCCCCAACTAGGGGCAGCCAATCAATAATGCCAGAGTTAATTCAGTCTACAGGTTCGCCTGGTAGGAACATAATCTTGTCCACTGGGATTCATCGGGAGGGAACTTCCCCATTACATCCCCGTTCAACCTCAGAGGCTTCCTTGTCAAGTATTGCTGGAAATGGGCAGGCCTTGGATAGTGCAAGAGTATCTCTTACCAGTTCTGAGGACAGATTTGCTAACTCTGAAGAACAGAGTGGGGAATTAGTTGGTCAACCCTCTATGTCACCATCTAGAAAAGAATTTTCTACTTCTATTGATAATGCCGAACAGTCGTCTCACGTCCATAGTAGGAATGGCTCAGCCTCCAGTGTGCTTTCTAATACAAACTTTTCTCAGGGAGTGGTAGGAGATAGCAATGAAACATCAGAGGGATCAAACCATCACACTGATCCTTCTGCAGAGGTAAAATCAGAACCTCATGCAGCTGATACCTTGACCACCACACAGAGGGAAACTGAATTCCCATCTCGTATGGTGGAAACACGGTCTCGGAACCAAGTGGTCTGGCGCCGCCCATCAGAGAGGTTTGTTCCAAGAATTGTTTCTAATTCGGCTATTGAAACCAGAGCTGATCTTTCTGGCATTGAAACCCAAGTACGGAAATTGATTGAGGATTTGAAGAGCACATCACTTGATACTCAAAGGGATGCAACGTCAGAAGTCCGGTTACTTGCTAAGCACAACATGGATAATCGGATGGTAATAGCAAACTGTGGAGCCATCAGCTTATTAGTTGATTTGCTTCACTCAACAGACACAAAGATTCAGGAAAATGCTGTTACAGCACTTCTTAACCTATCAATTAATGATAACAACAAAAGTGCAATTGCTAATGCCAATGCCATTGAACCTCTAATTCATGTCCTTCAGACAGGTAGCCCGGAAGCTAGAGAGAATTCAGCTGCCACTCTCTTTAGCCTATCTGTGATCGAGGATAATAAGATCAAGATAGGGAGGTCTGGGGCGATTGGACCCCTTGTTGATTTGCTGGGGAATGGGACTCCTAGGGGTAAGAAAGATGCAGCAACAGCTCTGTTTAATTTGTCTATATATCATGAAAACAAAGCTCGAATTGTGCAAGCTGGCGCTGTAAAGCACCTCGTGGATTTGATGGATCCAGCAGCTGGGATGGTTGATAAGGCAGTTGCTGTTTTAGCAAATCTTGCCACAATTCCTGAGGGAAGGACTGCAATCGGTCAGGGGAATGGGATCCCTGTTCTGGTTGAGGTTGTTGAGTTGGGGTCTACTAGAGGGAAGGAAAATGCAGCAGCTGCCCTTTTACAGCTTTGCACAACCAGTGGTAGGCATTGCAATATGGTGCTCCAAGAAGGAGCTGTCCCACCATTAGTGGCGTTGTCACTGTCAGGCTCCCCAAGGGCCAAAGAAAAGGTACACTTATGATGTTTCAATACATTTGCTTTTTTATTTTTTCCTTTCTATTTTTCCAACATAATAGAACAAGCCTCTGGTTGGTTGCAGGCACAATCACTCCTTAGTTTCTTCAGAAACCAACGACATGGTAATGCTGGGAGGTCCTGATATTACAAGAAACAACCTTCAATGCATTGCAAAGTTTTGAGTCTTCTATACAAAGTGTGTACATTTGTTGTTGCAAATAATTGTTATGAAGATTTTGATGCTTGGATTTTTCCTGATTTGTAGAGAAAAACATTATTGATTAAAGGAGGATTTGATTGAGTCCTTTTGTGGAATACTTATTCTTGTGAATGTGGGAAGAAATTTTATACACGTGAGTCGAGTCTTCTTTGCACTGAGTTTGAGGAAGATTGCAAGTTGAATAATCAGTTTTATTTGGTTTCAAAATCATTTGTTGGCATGTCTCTCCTGTATGCATGCTTATTTGTTTCATTTAACCAACTGTGGATACCAGAGGGGACTGATAATAGATGCATAACTTTTGAGTGAACTTTTATAAAAAGTGTGTACAACTGATATTCCATAATTCTTGTGAAGGTTTTGTGCTAGGATTTTACAATTACATGATTTACAGACGAAAAAAGAAAGTTGATTCACGAAGTTTTTCATATAATCCTCTTGTAAAGGTTTTTTTTTTTTTTTTCTTTTGGTGTGAATGTGAGAAGAAAATTTTGTACGTGCGATACTGTCCTTGTGGTGAGCTCGAGGAAGATACTACAGATGTTTCTGCAAAATTTTCTCTTTGATTTGAACTGTAATTTGAATGTAAAAGGAATGATACAGTTTCGTTGTAATAAGTTTGTACTTTATAAGCTATTTTATGCTATGAAATATATTATTAACTTAATATGTGGCTTCAGGATCATTGGTTGTATCAAATTCTCATAAATATATAGTTTTTAGGGTTTATGCAACTATTTTACTTTGAATTTTGGTGATTGGAGTGTATGATATTGTTAGAAAAAGATTGTGGTATGAAATCATTGACATGGGTTCATGCGTTTCAGTGATATTGCACAAACCTCAACTCCTTGTGTTAATGAGGGTTGTGCACCACCAACGTACAAGAACTTGCTGAGCAATAGGGATTTATGCGTTTTCATTTTCTTTATAACATCACATAAACGCTCAAAAATGCATATCATAAGCTTTATTTGAATAAAAATAGAGTGAAGGGAATGTAGAGAGTTTAGTTGTTGAGTTGCAAGTGAACTGTAATTGTCTATTTAGGTGTACCATTGTCATATATTGTCGAATAATACTACACATACATCATTTCTATATAATATTTCTCATACAACATTAGGTGACAAGATGTGATTGGATGAAAGTTTAATTTTAACTTTAAATTAACCAATTATATTTTATCATATAATATTGTATGAACATGATGTATATATAGTATTACTCTTACAGATAATAATTATTCTAACAATGTTATTCTTACAAACGAATTCTTACTAATAGTCTTATAAATTGACATGGCAGCTAAGGTAGCAGATGCCATCTCATCCGCCATGTCACCCACTTGCCCTGTCAATTCCTTGATTCCCTCTCAAATTATTCCCTAATCCCCTTCAAAATTATATATCAAAAAATTTTGAGAGATGGACACTAAATCAAAAATTGATTTCCCTTCCCCGGAAATTGGAAAATATCTCCCACCGCTGACCAACCACAACCTTCTCTGCTGTCGTGAGACGAAAGATACGTCCACCATCGCAAGATATCGTGGGCCACCACCACCGTTGAGATGTCTAGCCAAACGGACTCACTCTGTCTTGCTGAAGTCTGTAGTCCTCTCTCTCAATCTCTCTAGTGAGTTCGAACTCCAGTCAAACTTGCACTCCAACCAGCTCTCATCTTCGTATTACATTTGTGGTTCATCTTCGGCCAAACTTGCAGAAAAAGCCAGTTTGACTCTGAGGTGTTGAAGCTGCACCATATTATTTTTTCTTCTTTATCATTTAGAATTTTGTGAAAAAAGAGGTAACTGATTTGAGTATTGTCGTGGTGTCATTTGCTATAGGGAAGGAGCCAGAAACAAAGTCTATTTCAATTTCGCTTTCTCTACTTTCTTCTCCAATTTCTCTTCTTCGCCGTCGATTTCCATTGGCGTGAGTCCATCGTCACGGGACTAAGGTCGTGTGTCGGCAAAAGGGTTTCCAAAACTGTTTTTTCTTTTCAACCCCTACATTGAGGCTCTTAGCTAGAATGTTAATGTTAGTCAGTTGACAGTTGTCTAAATTTTGTTGGCATGTAGAAGACTTCACTGAACATGTCTTTACATTCCCAGGATTACAGTACAGTGTCAACCGCTTACAGGCCATCTCCTACAGATGCAAATTTTTGATTGAAGTAAAATGTCAAATCAGTGTCGATAATGTTGTCATACTGAAATTTTGTTTAGTGACTAATTCATATGATATCGATGAATAATTATGAGAGTGGTGGTAAATCTGTAGCAGGTGATGGGTGATGGGATTGCTACCCAGCTGTGTTTGCTGGCTGCTAGGGTTGCAACTGTTAAGTGTGTGTGTTGCTTATTATGCTGCCCTGCAGTTTGATTTTGGTGACTGGGTTCCTCTAGTAGCTGTTTCAATTTACACTGGGACTTTTTCTATGAAGTAAAACCTCTTTTTGCTGTTGGTTTTGCTGATTTTTTTGTATAGGCTTGTAGCTATCTGCAGTTTTGTTGGTTGTTGCTGCTATTTCTTCTCCTTGTTTTGGTTGCGTTCATGTGCAAGTTTTTTGCAGTTGTAGTGTTGGGTTTTAGGGCTCTTTTTGGTGGTTGGTTTTAATGTATAGCTTGTGCAGTTGGTTTTTGTTTACGAAAATACCCGCATTGTTTTTGTGCTGCTGGTCATTTTTTGTATAGTCCTTTTTGAGGCTAGTTAGATGATTCTTATGGATTGTAAATTGGTGCCTCTGTTGTTTTTGTTTTGCTTGGTTTCTTGGGCTTGTCTAAGGAACTTGACTTTGTAGAGGTCCTCTTATTGGGATCTCATTTTTTTACACTTTATATTATTAATGAAGTAGTATACACATTTGTTTCCACAAGCTTATGACAAGCTTTTGATGTAATCTCATTTTGACAGGAGTTGTTAGAAGGTATGATTTTTCAAAGTTTATGACAAACTTTTCATTTAATCTTATTTTGACTTTCATTTTTTTAAAAAATTTTTATTTTTTTTAATTTCCTTTTTTTTTTTTTTTTTTAATTTTAATTTTTTTTTTTTTTTGTTTTTTGTTTTTTAAAAGTTAAGTGATAAACACAATACTTAGATTATTCATGATACTGATATAATCACTACAAAAAGGAGAAAATGATGGTGGCTTTATTAGCACTTGCGTCAAGCATCAATTAAGCACTCCCAAAAAATGCCAACTAATCTAATGTAAAGTGCTTCAGTACAATGCTTAAAGTCTTATTAAGAATCATTCGTGTTAACGTAAACTTATAACTCAAATGTAGCACCGGGTTTATTATGTAAAAAGTAGAAGTTCACATTTATGTAAATCTAACATACATTGCGATCTATAAGCAGTGAAACTCAAAAAACAATTGATACAAGTGCGAATTGATCACAATCCGAAACTTGTAATCCAATTTTTTTCTTGATGTGTATCTGAAAAGCAACAAATACATTACAAAAAAACAAAAGGTGGCTTTAAGGTAAATCTAGAAACTGGTTTTACAAACATCCTCAGAAAATATGATCAAGTAAATTATTTTCTACATATAAACTTGAAGAAAAATTTCGCTTTGGGACGGAACCCCAACAGAGAAGATAGGTCATAAGCTTTCAATTTCTTCTGTCGGCTTCTAAGTTTCTTCTTCTCTGTAGAAATGAAATATTTTTATAATAAACTACTAGTAGTCAAATATAAAAAACGAACTACCACATTAAAAAAATTAAACAGCATAACGCCAATCAATCCACTATCAAAATGTTTATGAAAAGGTGCTGCCCTCAAAGCTTAACAAATTCAACAATGAATAATTCAAAATGTTTATGAAAGTGTTTCATTTATTGTTATATAATATGTCTTGACTCCATTTTCAATGTTTTCCTTTTTAACAAAAAGTCAACGGTTAAATAGCAAAATATGCTTTTGAGATCTTATAATGATGTTAAAAGTTGTTGCCAAATAGTTGAAAACAGTTTTGCAGCTCAAATCCACTAATTAATTAATTAAAATCTGGCCTCCAAATTCAGTAGTATCCAACCTACAAACTCAAACCACAAGCCATTCTCTATAAGATGCAATTGAAAGAATATTTAGAGAAGAATACCACAGACCTACCACCACAGTTAGCGTTCATCCTGTACAAGTTCCTCTTCTTTCTTTATGATGGATAAAGCTTCAAGAACGGCAAAAATTGGATCTTAGTTTCTTACCCACAAGTAAATAAACAATTCATTAGCACTTTCAATTAAAATAGAAAGTCACAAGATTTACTATGAGCAAAGAAACACTTTATTAATATAATGGCTGGTATTAGCCATTTCTTGTACAATATTTTTACCAAAACAAAACATGATCTCGTAGCATAACATTGGAATCAACATCAAAACCTTGAAGCATTTGAAAACCTAAACTAGGAGCAATAAATTACATCAATAAAACAGAGCTCGAACCTATCATACACTAGCTTTCTCAGCACAAAACTTAGAAGAAGAAGCCAAAAACTCAGAGGTGAATCCGAAATTACAATTCTGACCATCATCCCCACCGTAAAAGTCCCTACTCTCATACCCACCAAATTGGTCCTCTTCTTCTTCAAACTTACACCCTACTCTTCTAGACATAAACCCAATTATCTCCTCAAGTTCCTCAACTCTCATCTTCGGTTCTGCCTTCTCCCTCTCCATTTCCTCAATCTTGGATCTCAAACTCGCCGTCTTCTCATTCGCAACATCGATTTGTTGTAGCAGCCGCCTCTCCTCCACGTGCCGCGTGTTCTGGTGAGTAGCAAAGATCTCCACCACCCTCGCATTCGCCTTCGAGTCTTCCTTCCTCCGTGACTTCATCTGCCTCAACTGCTCCTCCGCCGTTCACAGCAGTGTTGAAAGCTCCCTCACTTAAGATTTCAAAGTGGGTATCAACAAGAGAGACTTCTGCGGAAATAAAGCTAAGAGCAAAGAGAAACTTAAACCGAGAAATGAAGAGGGAAGTTTCTTCGTTTCATGGTTTTCTTCTTTCTCGGCGGTGGAGGTGATAGAGACGGGTCGGTGGTGGGAGAGATTTTTCAATATTAGGGGAAGGGTTCTCAGAAATTAATTTACGGTTTCTAACTGGGGACTGATTTTTGATCAATTTGGGGAGGAAAAATTTTTGAATTTGTTTTTTTGTTTTTGGGGAACTAACGTGGCAAGTGGATGACGTGACAGATGAAGTGGCTGCCACATCAGTTTGTAGGGTCGTTACTCATTAGTAAGATTGGTTTGTAAGGAAAACAGTATTGATAATTATTCCCTTTATTCACTTCATTCTAGGTAATGTTATTTGTATAAGAGTAATGCTAGTTTTACAAAGATACATACAAAAGGAGTATACAAAGATAATTTCTACTCTTAATTTTCATAATTTATCTCTCTCTCTTTTTCTGTTTTTTTGTTTTGTTTTTTTCTTCTGCATGATGTCACTTTGTAACTCTCTTTATATGAGTCTTTGTAAGGATAACATTTTTCTTTGTATAAACTCTTATATAAAAAAAGTTTGTACAAACTGATATGATATGTCACAAAACCAACAATGCTACAGACACCAGGGTTTTTATACCGAAATTTTGTACCGGCCTACGTGTTTCCTGACTCAGACCATTCAAAGCATTTAACGTTATTAAATTTTTTTTAAAATATAAAAATTTTAAAAGAAATCTGGAATGGACGGGCGTCCATTCCAAATGGACGAGCGTCCATTCCAAATGGGCGGTCGTCCCTACACAATGGACGGCCGTCCTTTCTTTTTAGACAAGCGTCCCTACTCTAATTAAAAAGCTTCAAGCTTCAAGTCCTAACTTCTGATCTTCCATAACCTTCTGCAACTCACCCGACGTTGTTTCAAAGCTCATAACCAATGGCTTCTTCTATGCCTTCCTCTACTTCTTCTTTCTCTACAGTTTTTCACGCTTTGTACAACCCAAAACTCAAGAAAAGTTATGGATTGCAAAGAGAACCCATGCTGGAAAAAGGCAGATTTAGATGACCCAAGTAAAGATTTGATTGAGGGAGTCAATGAAGAAGCCATGGAAGGCCATGAAGAAGAAGAAGTAGCATCAAAAAAGCACAACAGATTTGATTGAGGGAGTCAATGAAGAAGCCATGGAAGGCCATGAAGAAGAAGAAGTGATGTCAAAAAAGCACAACAGATTTGATGGAGGGAGTCAATGAAGAAGCTATGGAAGGCCATGAAGAAGAATAAGTGGTGTCAAAAAAGCACATGGATTGTGCGAAAGCGTGAAAGACATTTTTTTTTTGTTTGTTTGGCTTCCTGGCAGAAAAAAGAAGCTCCACCTATTTCGGTATAATTTTCAGTGCATTTTTTCGGTGATATAGCATTTTTGGTCACAAAACATCCATATATCATTAAGACCTATATAACCGAATATCACGTTAATATGTGTGAGCCCATAATTAATTAGCTGCCAAATAAGACACGGAAAAAGTGAACACGTGAATTAATGTACCACTTCTGATTGTGATACGCCACCGTATCGACGTGCTTTATACAAAATCTTTCCAAGGAGCCCGTTAATGATGTGATGTGGTAGTGCGCTCGCACACACACCACGAGGCACAAAATATATTGTTTAGACCAATCAACCAACTACTGTCACTCTCCGGCTACGCGAACGTACTTGCCGGTGCGTCGTCTTCTGGTCGCCCATCAAGCAAATAATCCCTCTTCTGTATACAGGTGCTTGCTTTTCTTTCTCCCCCCGTTCTAGGGTTTAGGGTTTACAGTTTCTTCAAAGTTAGGTTTTTTTTTTTTTTTTGTGACTTTGTTTCTACTGTTTATATATATTATCTTCTAAGATTGATTTTATTTGCTTACTTATGCCGTAGAAGAGGTCTCTGTGAAAAAATCATGCTTTGTTGCTAAAGATGTTAACTTGAAGAAATTTTTTCATGCAATTCGTGTTTGGTTTTTAAAGATAGGTTTTTTATTCCTTTTTCTTGGAATTTAATGGAAATTATTTGGTTTTTCAGAGTATTAGGATTTTTATTGACCTATTGATTTTCTGTTGTTTTATTTCAGATTACACTCTATTGACTTAGTTTGAAATGGTTGTTACACACTACAATCGGTTACTGAGCCGTTTTGAAAGAATGACTGTTTTTAAGTAGTGTCAATAGGGCCCCGACTAGAGATGGAAGGTAATTCAAACACCGTGATGGAAGTTTCTGCCACTAAGCAGAATAATGGAAGTGTACCCCAGGATTCACAGAATGGGTTTATGCATTATGCAAATAAGATGGATGACGACACTTTTCATGTGAGAGGTTTATTTGATGGGAAAGCTAAGGTACAAAATGGAAGTGAAGAAGTTGAGGTTAGTATAACTGATAAGCAGAATACTGGAAGTGTACCCCAAGATTCTGAGAATGAGTTTATGCATTGTGCAAATAATATGGATGATGACACTTTTCATATGAGAGGTTTATTTGATGGGAAAACTAAGGTACAAAATGGAAGTGAAGATGTGGAGGTTAATATAACTGACTGTACAGTATCTAGTGACCTTGCATTGGTTGAAGCTGAATGCCAGGACACAACTGAGAATTCAAGTTCTTTTGATAACTCTGTATCTGAGACTCGAAATGCCTCAACCTTGAGTGATGTGGAAGTTGAATCACCATTTTGTGGTTCCAATTCATTTGCATCAGTGTTTGAAGGATACAACGGAGCATTGCCTATGAGGTATTTTTGGTTTTAAAATTTTAATTAGTTCATTTTTGTGTTACCTGTGTTCTTGTTTATCTATAGGGTTAAATTTTAACTTTAAGATCATTCCTTTCATACATCTCTAGGTCTTTGACGGTTTGTACAATCATAAAGTTGAACTAGGGAACAAGTTACTGGGTAATATTGAACTAATTACTCCTCTTTTTCGTTAGATCAGAGTTTGGTTTGCATAGCAAGGCATAAGAGGAGTTAGGGTAAGAAATCATGTGTTCTAGTTTTAACAGAAATATAGACAATATGGTGTGCAGTGTTTGATATTGTATGTTTTAGGATTTTGAAATTGCAGCAGTTATGTGATAAAACACTGGTAATGTTGTCAAGTCTTGGATCCTTTTCAGTGACTTGAATTTGTACTAGTACAGTGTTCGCTGCCATTGGCTGAATCTCTGTTATTTCGATGCTTCTCAGTCCACTTTTTCTTACTTTATCAGCCACATTGACTTTGAGTGTTGCAAGTGGCTTGGTATGATGATTGGCTGAATCTCTGTTATTTTGATGCTTCACAGCCCACTTTTTCTTACTTTATCAGCCCCATTGACTTTGAGTGTTGCAACTTGCAAGTACCTTGGTATGCTGATCTTTTGTGCATTTATTTAACACGTATCAACAACAGAATCAGGTTGGATGGAAACATTTTCTTTTCCATTTTCATTCAGGATAAGTAGTTACAACTAAATGAATTACGTATGTTATTCATAAACTGATTTAGATTTGAAGTAATGATCTTACCATGAATAGTTCTTTGAATGAAGCATTTGGTTTATGTCTATTTTGAACTTCTCAGGAAGAAGAAGTTGACAGATCATTGGCGTAGATTTGTACGCCCTATCATGTGGCGATGTAAATGGATAGAACTCCAAATTAAGGAATTTCAGTCCCAGGCACTCAAGTATGATAGAGAAATCGCAGATTATGATCAGAAAAAGCGGGTTGAATATGAAAAGTTAGCATTAGAAGGTATTGATGCAAGGTCACGTCCATTTTCTCGTCATATTCAAAGAAATCAAGTCATGAAGAGGAAGAAGAGAAAGCGAGTGGAAGATACAACTGATCTAGCGTCGTACATGTCACAGCACAATCTGTTCTCTTACTTTGGTACAAAATTTACGTTTTTGTTTCATGCAAAGTTTATATATCTATAATAAAGTCTAATAGGTGCCTTCATTCCTTTTTTCTCCCAGACTATAAGAGGTCTGCTGCTGACAGTGCTTGTATGGAAAATGATTGTGGTAATTTAGGTAAGAATTAGAGCTTCAGCTTTGATGATTATAGTATCATAAATGATATAAATATTAGGCATCTGATCATGGATCTAATCTTTTCAATGATATTTTAGCTGAGTGTACAATTTGATGTTTATGATGGCTTTGTGTTTCAGAAACTTGCTCTGGTGTGGAATATTGGTGTTTTTTTATAATCGACAATTGGGTTATAACCTGGGAATAGATTCCCTAACTATCTATTCTATATGTAATATATATTTTTATGCAAGATATAGAAAGCGAACTTGGTGAAGTTTTCCTAAATATTGGAAGTTATTCTTTTAAATGGAAAATGGTGAGTTTTAAATAGTTTTTGGTGGACAGTTTTGATATTGCATCTAGATTTGTGATTTGTATGAAGTGAAAATAATATGGGGTCATGGACAAAACTGATATGAAATTTATTCTGCAGGTATTGACTTGGACGTTATGATTTAATGCTCTCTTGATACAATTCTTGTGTGTTACGCTTGTCTATTCTAATTTATGATTTAAATTTAATATTAATTATCTTTCTGTATTATGCAATATTATGGTGGTTTAAGTACTTGTGTGTTGATCTGATTATGTTTCTCTTGAGACATATTACTGAACTTGGAGATATGTTGTTTTAGAATTGACTCCGCTGTATTATTCCCACTTTTGTGCTCTACTGAATTCTGCAGATAATAAGATTGTCAATGGAAAACATGAGTTTGAGTTTGATGATGGATGGCTGTCGCTTGAGTTTAAAGGTGTTGATAAATCCTTGGCGCAAATTCTTTCAAAGATTGAAGTGGTTCAATCACAAGTTCGCCAACTGAAAAGTCGGATTGACAAGGTGGTGAGTGAAAATCCTGGAAAGTTCTGTTCCGTTAATCGATTGAGCTTGTTTGTACCATGTGATGCATTGGCCTGTTCTGATCAAAATGCTGCTTCTCCTGAAAATGGAAATGGAAGGCGAGATAGATCATTGTATATTTCTTCTCAGCATAGATCAGAGTGTAACATGGGAGATCTTTTTGTGCCTGGAAGTTCAGGTGCAAGTCATGAAGAGGTGATTCCTCTTCCTGATACAATCAGAAGAAGAGGTCAGCCTCAAATTGGGGGTTCGTGTGAACATGTAAGTTTTCTCATCTTGCACTTTTGACTACATTTCCTTTTTGGTTAGGATTCTAGTAATAATTGTGATTTCAGGAGCCCTTCATACCTGTCAAAGAAAGTTGTGACTATAGCTGGTACAATATTCATTTCTATTTTTTGGACGATACCATTAATCTCCCTTGCTGTTTAGATAAACATCCTTGTGTCGCCTGTCTTTTTTTTTTTTTTTTTTGGATTGCTTGTTCGCTAACTTAATTCCTTCCCTTTTAAATCTTTCATTTTCTGTATGACAGTTTTTAAAAGTTTAAGCCCAAGCTTCCTAACTTTTATTGGATAAATCTGGAAGTAAATATGCCCATGACAAATAAATGTGTCGATTGGGTTGACCAGGTTGATTGGTGGGGCCTGATAGTCCAGGCCTGTATTTCCATAGATATGCCTGAATTGGAATGAAAAATAAAAATAAGAATGTTGGGAAAAAAAAGCCTTCGTAATGTTATGTAGCAAACAACTTGAAGATACTGTAATTTTAATGGATAAAGGAATTAAAAAAAACACGGCTTTCTATCAAGCTGGCCTCGAAGCTTGGCCCAAGGGTCAATTGGTACACTCTTTTGTGGGCTGGCAGCCAATTAACGTTTTTCAATGTGTACACTCTTTTGCCTTAAAGGATGCCCACCTAGAGGATTTGGGGCATAATTGAGAGTTGATTGGATTGTGGAAATATTGGGAATTGGAATATTATGCTGGTTTAAGTAGAAAAAATGAAGTTGCATGATCTTATTTATTTCTTTGTAATGGAACTTTTCATTCGCCATTCATGCAGAACAAGGAATTAATCCTGATGGATGATCAGGCTTATCATGAAGACTTGCAGCTGAATTTTGAAAGAGTAATTAGTCGGTTCACAGAGAACCCACAGGTACCAGCTAGAAATCTGAATTCTGGTCCTCCTGTTATGGCTCCAGAAGCTGAGTTGCCCATAGAAACATCTGTGCCTCACGGTCAACCATCTAGTTCCAGGTCAAATGTGCGTAACAACAAGAGAAAACAGGGGAGGCGAAAATCACGCACAGGTAAGTGGAGTCGCAGATCCTCAGGCTAGCTGGATTACAAGTTTGAAGATCAGTCTTGGCTAACTGTGTTGGAAATGAAGTTGTTAATGTGGCATTTGGTTATAAATGTAAATGCTGTTTATTCTGTTGTATATACTCTTGACTCTTGCGCTGTAGAAAGAAAAATGATTTTAGATTTTCTATTCTAATGAAAATCTCTATATATTTTGCATGTTCAGCCAATGAATTACCCCACTGGATAAATGTGTACTCTTTGGATGCTGTGCATTAATTTTAATCAGTACATCAAGGCACCAGTGGGAATTCACTTTTGTTGATCAATACAGGCAAGTCTTTCAATGTTAAAGCTTAGGTTTATGCCCCCCCTTTGTACACGAGGCTTGTGCCATGTTTTAGGTGATAAAAAGCATCGAGAAACTATTTACAAGAGTGAAGTTTCACTTGAGGAAAACTGTCTTCTTGGCTTGGATCAGATGCTGCGATTCGCCTTGTTGAACTTTTGATTTCCTCTTGCATAGTTTGGTTTGATGGTATTAACTATTTACAATTAAACTACTTGATAGTGTGATAAAACCTTTACATTTTGACCATTTGGCATTTGGAAATAATAAATAATTAACAGTGTTTTAAAACCCGGCCCGGCCTGACCTGGCCGGTTGAATCGAGGCTCGGAGCCTTCACCGAGTTGAGAACCTTAGAAATTAGGACATCAATTTGTGAACAATGAAAAGCTGGAATGTTAGGGCTTTTGAAGAGGAATGGTCGATAAGTGCAACGGTGGTAACGACGTCGATTTCTGGTGAGTGAATCGAACGGAAATTGTAAAACAATGTTGCCGAAAAAAACTCGTTATTGCCTGCGATTGGGGAGGCGAACGGGAGATGGGTGAGATCGGTTTTGGTCAGGAGGCTGAGGGGGAGTGTTTTTGTGGTGATGGGGAGTGCTGTCGTAATCGGAAGCTAGCCCTATTTGTTGACGCCGACAATGGTGTTTGGGTGTTTTTGTAATATTTCAAACTTATAGGGACTTACAAATTTTTGGGAGTATTTTTGTTAGATTTCAAACTTTTTGACACCAATTTGACTCGTCATCCCGGGACCTGGCCACTTTGCCGGGGTTCTCCTAGGTTGGGTTTTAAAACATTGATAATTAAAAGAGCTGTCAATGGAGAAAAAGAAGAATTTAGAATATTGCAGTTGTAAATAATTTCGTGTCATTTAACATCAGTCTTGCAGAAAACACATAACTCATGCACCATTTAAGCCTGGTATTTATGTGGGTATTCAAGATGTGGAGTTTCCTAATTTTCCCATGAACATCTTTCTGGAAAGCTTGGCTGACATAAGGGCTAAAACTGTTACCGATGGCACAAAGAGTACATCAGGGACGGCCTTGATCATCTTCAACTGTGGCACATTCTCTCCTGCTTTCTTAGCTGCCATGGCTGCTGGAGGTGTCAATATTCCTGCTATCACGGTGTAGTCATCTAGCTTGTTAACCTTAACTTTATCCTTCATGAATTCAACAAACTTTTTCTTCCTTTCTGACTCTGGACTTTCTTTCCAATTTGCAAAGCATTCCTGAAATTTAGTGTATTAGATTAAGAATTGAAAAAGAGATAGAGATAGCATTAATTAGACGATTCAAGCATCGCTGACTCACCTCAACTTCTTTACGTGATGGTACATCGTAATGTTTGCCTGGCAATGCTGAGTTGACAGTGCTGAATAAGATGAACAGAAATTCAGATCCTAATTACACTTGTTTTGAAATATTTCTAAATTAATGATTAAAAGATAAATCATAAATGTAATTTCTTACTTGAATATATCCAAAATAGCAATGTGAAAGTCATCGAAGTTGTCGATACGTTTGTCCATGAATTGTTTGTAGAGAGTACCGATTAGCAGATTTAACAGCTGTGCGGATGGCATCCCTATCGTGTGAACAATCAGCCAATTCTATGGTTAGTAATGATCAAAGATTTTTTTTTTTTTTTTTTAGAAATAAAAAGAAGAAATTCAATGTAAAGCATGAAATGGCAAGAGAAGTCAAAAACCTTTCCCCATGAAACTCATGATCATCCCCATTTCGCAAAGGCTTGGACATTAGTGTTTAGATTAAACGCGCTGTATATAATATGGAAGAAAGAGAAAGTGTTAGTCTAAGGAAGGAATCAATTGGTGAGTCCAATAGTTTCCGATGATTCCTTTCTTGGGTTTAATCATTCTCTTCTCAAGATAAGCAGAACCAGAAGGTAAAGGTGGCATTGACTCAACATTGTTCCAATTTCTTTCTTCTATTAAGAAGTAAGCTATGACCCTACTTTACACGAGGTTTTACGATTATGGGTGTATTTCAATATACACTACTTATATAAATCCTTTGCATGAACGATTGAGCAATTAATGCATTAAATTTATATCTGATTGAAAGGATCACTTTGTTTAATATCATTATGCAAGGCCTACTTTTCACTTTTCATATCCCTTATCCAAGCTTTAAATTTTCCAAATATAAATTTCTAAATTTTTAAGTTAAAATACAAATTAATATATTATCTTCAGAAAGAAATGAGCCAACAAATAACTTATATATATATTATATACTCCTTTTGTAAGCCTTTTGGGAAATTTGAAATATTCAAAGTAAGCTCACATGCGATATGTTTTTTCTTACTATTCAACATTAGCTTTATTTTAGGCTTTTTGAATAGCCCGAACGACTTACGCATATCTAAGGTTTATCGAAATGACAAGTTGGTATCAAAAAAGTTTTAAAACGACAAATAGGTACATTCCGTCATGTGCTGTTAGTGATTTCTGTTTATTCATAATGAAAAGACTAAAATGAACTTTAGTTTTTTATAAATTTAAAAATTTCTAAAAAACCCCCTAAGTTTGCTAATTTAACTAAACACCCCCATATGTAAAAAATTTGTTAAATGACAAAAACACCCCCACACCCACAGTGCCAGATTCCGGCCACCACCGCCGGAATCTGGTCGTAAAATTGTGTTACGACACAGACCCGTCGGATCTGTGTCGTAACGTGTCGATCTAGCCTTTTCCGACCAGATCCGCCACGTATCTGGCCAGAAAAGGCCAGATCTGGCCGTCGAGGCAGCAGATAGAGTTTGCGGCGTCGACGGCCAGATCTACGGCTAGATCTGGCCGTCGTGGCAGCAAAACTCCATATGCGGCGTCGATGACCAGATCAGGCCGTAGATCTGGCCTTTTCCGGCCAGATCAGCCACGGATCTGGCCAGAAAAGGCCAGATCGACGCGTTACGACACAGATCCGACGGGGTCTGTGTCGTAACGCAATTTCCGACCAGATTCCGACAGTGGTGGCTGGAATCTGGCACTGCGGATGTGGGGGTATTTTTGTCATTTAACAAACTTTTTATATATGAGGGTGTTTAGTTAAATTAGCAAACCTAGGAGTTTTTTTAGAAATTTATAAAAAACTAAAATATCAAACTTTAAGGGCATTTTAGTCTTTTCACTATGAATAAATAGAAATCACTAACAGCACATGACGGAAGGTACCTGTTTGTCGTTTCAAAACCTTTTAGGTACTAACTTGTCATTTCGGAAAACCTTGGGTATGCGCTTGTCGCTTGTCCTTTTGAATAAGCTTGTTCCTGCTTCTAAGTTTACTGAATCGAACCCAAATTTATGAGGCGAAAACCTATTTCAAATCTTGCTCTGCTACCATATTTTTTGACAAATTCTGAGAAGAGAAATGGTGTAGAATATTTTGGGAGTTGTACTTTTGTATAGTACTGGAGATTAAATATTTGATGAAATGTTAATGGACCAGCAGGATCAATCTGAGTTAGATTTTGAATGTTCACATGTCAAGTAGTTAATACATAATGATTCTTTTATAATTTACTTAAAACAATTTAGAAACAAGCCAGAGACAACTCTCTAGAGCCTAAACTATTAATCTTTCTTCATGGTACTGATGGTGTATGGTTACAATGAAGTTCTTTTAAGGCTTAATCATTATAATATTATAAAATTATTGTAGACTTAGATATCAATTCCTAATTGATTTGGTTTTATAGGATAGGGAACGGTTTTGATTCTGATTCTAATTCCTTTTATTTTAGACGGATATTTGGAACCATACACCTTATTAGATAGTTTTCTATTTTTTAGTTTAATTACTTCATTCATATTAGAAAAAAAAAAAAAAAAAAAAAAATTCTTTTAAAGGGAAAGTATTGGATTACAATCACCATAACATTGTAGACATGGCATCTGTTGACTGTCGATTCCCACTTTATTGAAGTTACAATTATTTTATTCAGACCCTTAATTGCTTAGGGTTATTGAGCACGCAAATCCTTGCTTATGAGAGTCGGTGAAGAATATTCTTTCAGCTGATAGATTTCTCTCGATAAGCAAGGAGCGTTTTTCAGAATGGTAAACAATCAGAGTCGTCAACCAATGCCTAAAATAAATAAACTAAAGGTAAAACAATAATACAGAAACAATGATAATAATAATATAATATGATGAATTCAAGGGCACTTGGGGTTCCCCTTGGAATTTAACTTGTCCCTATAGCAAGGGCACTCCGACTTGTTTCCGTAAGTCCCAGAAGGAACACACTTACAGGCTCTGCAACAAATCATGCAGTAGTTCTTGCAACGTTCTTCATATCCAGCTTCCGCACATCTCCCCTCGCACTTCGCATCACAAAACCCTTCCAAACCTGTAACAATACCCAACCATTGTTTATGATTCAACATTACAGATACATATATTTATATGCATGTATTCATAAATCGTACTATGTATATATATAAATATATTAACTTACCAGGACCGGGAGCAACAGGAGGTAGAGGCGCTTCACTTTTAGAGTAAGCAACGCTGCATTGGAAGAAAGAAGAGCATAGCAGCAGTGAAACAAGAAGCAAACTTGTTAGGAAAACCTTCATTTTGTCTGAACTAGATGTTTGTAGCTCTACTAAAATGTAACCAAAACAATATCTTTCCTTGTGAGTGATACAAGCTTGAGAGGTTCACGTTGGTATTTATAGAAGTGATGCTGAGTGAAACTTCACCAGGGAAAGAGAGAAAGGTCGAGAAAGAGAATAATAAAAAGAGATGTACAGCTTTTGTACAGACTGTAAGTTGGTGGGTTGTTGTGAGGTAGGGCAACTTGGGGTTAGGGTCGTCTTGATTCGCAGGTCCTGGTTTATGCATGCCAGAAAGTAGAAAGAAACTCCATGGCAGCTTCCTAAGTTAATTAGTAAGTATACTTACAACATTAATAATTCAATCCCACAATTTATTAATTACTTATCCTGGTCAGCTTTGAATTCAACTACCAGACCCCATTGATTTATTTAATTCCACTTGTTCCATTGCTAATATCCGAAACCACGAACAACTTTTTATTTACAACTTTAAAAAAGGAAAGACGATATTTTTAAACAAAAAGGCTAAAATTAACAAAATGAGGAATGGATGGTTCTATCATCTTCTGAATCGAAATCCCAATCAAAGAAAAGTTCATTCCAGTCTTCCATTTGTTCAAATTAGTAGTGTTTAAAACATTACTAATCTTTGTGATTTCAGACTAAGGTATATATATGTTTGAAATGTAGAACATCTTTCTGAAATTTGAATCTTAAAAATGGAACGATTTCTTCTCCATTTATGTAAAATATTTTTCCAGAATCATACAGTCTTTTTTAATGCACGTAGAATACACTTGTGTATATATATATATTTGCTGAGTATTTTATTCCTAAATCTTTGTGGTTTTGTCTCTGAAAAGATATAATAACATGATTTTTGTTCGCTCTCAATACGTCCGGTACTAGAATTTATAAGTTTTAACTTGTACCGGCCACTGCATTTGTGAAAGAGTACAGGCTGTGATGGTTTTTCCGATGCACCCCATTTGTACTTGTTTAATGTTTTTCTTTCCTTTCTGCTCGCCATTTTCTACGGAAAATATACATTTGAAGATTCGTTGCATCTTCAAAACAAGGGATTAGGCTATGCTAACTTTGCCATTATTCTCTTGCTTTATTTTATTTTTAATCACAATCCAATGCCTCTTTGATAGCCATAAAGTATTCTGACCCATCAAAAGGAATGAAAATCTTCCTGAGATTGGATAAAAAGTTAAGCCCAAATGTTTTGGAATTACCAAAAGATTTCCTCACAAAGTTATTAGTTGACTCTATATATGTTCACTATAAACGTCCTTTGATTTTTATTAAAAATAATGCCTGAAAACAAAGTGTGGCCTTCGTTTTTGTGAATGATCCTAAACGATATTTTACAATGCCTTCAAATATTTGTATGATTGTACAGTACTGAAGCTTTTGTGATAGAACATTTGACGCTTCTTCCAAGAATAATGCTATTGTTCATTGTGATGCCTGAAATTGAATTATTATTTTTTTCATTGACAAGTCCGTAAATGTTATGTTATGTTATGTTTGCTTACCTAGATTCCAATAGAAAGAAACTTTAACTGATAACGGCCCATGACTTTTTTTTTTTTTTTTTTTATTGAGAGTGTTCGAACCAATTACGTGTACTTCGACTAGTCTCATACTCAACAAGACTACTTGATTAGTCTCAAACTTTAAACAAGACTTCCAACAGAGGATAATTTAACAACTGTTCTTGTGATTCAACTTGAAATCACAGAGAATAAACCCTTTGATCACATGCCTCTTGGTCAACCCATTATTGGTTTAGGAGTCTTTTTACTGTAATTTAAAGAATTTTACAAAACTAGTCTGACATTTTCATCGACTAATTGCTTCCAGGGAGAGCTCTTGGTTAAAAAAAAAAAAAAAAAAAAAAGGAGGTCCTTCCAAGTATCCGAAATTATTTTCTGGATTTAAGGACGAACAGTTACTACGGGCAATCCTGAGCAACAAAAGCGGTTGTTGGGCGGCTTGGGCCGATAGTATATCCTAGAAAAAGATGTTAATCTTCAAGTGGAAAATTACAGGCTGTGTGACACTTGCATTTGATTCCTTTGTTCTGTTTTGTTGGGCTAGAATGATTGTTTTTTAGCACAGGCCACAGGATGTGAAGCAGAAATATTTCGGCTAGGTCCGGGCGATATTTTCTCCCTTTCACATTCTGATTATGAAAAAAACTTGTTCTTTTATCGTTGGCCCCCCTCTAGACATGTCATATTTGTTTTTGTTTCCTTTGTTGTTCTCATTGAAAATATAAAATATATCTACTGAGTATTTGGAGGACTTTTATGAAACATTGTTTTCGAGCGAAAGTGGTTTTTATCCCTTTTTCATTCTTGCAATGTTTTTATGATTTAAAACACTTTCTAGTACATATTTATCTACTTCTATATGTCTTCAACTCTGCAATACGCATTATATTTTTCACTTTGCTCTCTTTTTCCTTTTTCTTTTTAACTATAGTAAACATCTGCCTACATAATCTTCAAATCTAAATCAGTAACACATCAACCGACAAAAAGATTAGGATAAATATTTTGAATGTATAAGTTCTAAACAAGAAAAAGTACATCTGTCTTGGACCATTGCAGAGGTTCCAACTGAAGACAATTTCTCATCTTTCGGTGGCTTCACAGAAATGAACAAAATGAGGTTGGAAATATAGTACTACCTCAAGTTATAAAATGTGAAACACATGCTAGACATGACAATAAGCCACAAGCCTCAAGTGTATTTTCATTACTGGGAACATTTAAAAGCACCGTTCCAATAATGCCTGGTTAATACATGTGTATGACTCTTCACTCAGTTAAATGGACAAAATCAAGAATTGCCCTCAATGCATACAGACAGAAAGGCCCACAATTTGTTATACATACATGTTTATCTACATATATACACATACGTACATAAAAATGATAACCCAAAAAAAATGATGTGTTATCATCATAATGTCAACCTCCCAGACAGTAGGAAGAACGTATAGGTCGACCGTAAGAATATTCTTCAGCAAGGCGACTAGAGGCAAGTAAATTAACCTGCAGAGAGGCCTCTTACTTTCAGCTATCCAAATGAACTTCAAAAAACTCAACAATGACAGGAAAAGGGGGAAGGGGTGTTTTGGGGGGGAAAGTTACCTTCATGATCTCCCACTTTGAGCTGGGACGCGAAGACACAACTAAGACACTCATGTGAAAATCCTGGTTTTAACAATACAGATACATGTGTTCACATTTAGTTCATCAAAAGACCTTAGCATGGAATTCTGATTTGGATAATAGCAATATTAAAGTGGACAGAATATTCTATACTATAATGCGAACAATTTTGTTCAATAATTATTTTCTATTACATGGTAGGTGCTTATAAACCAATTTTGTAGGGAACTCAAGAAGAGGGAAGATTTACGGTTACATTGTTGAGATCTCATTATTGGCCCATGAAAATACAAATATATTGATTTTAATCTTAATAATGTTTCTTAACTCCAAAAAGAGAAACTTGATTTAGAAAGATTGATATCACTAGATTGCGTTAAACAAAAGCTTACCCTGAAGGGATCTCCCCTTAAGGACTGCACAGATAGAGATTTTCCGGACTCACTATCCTGCAAGGAATACAAGAAGCAATTGACCTCTTAGCTAGCATGGTTATAGATAGCATTGTGCTTAAAATGGTGGCAATATACCAGTGCTCTAAATTTTTTATTAATTAACCGATCTCATAGCAAAACATACCTCCAAATAAACATCCCTCAATCGTCTTCCAGTTTGAGCACAGCAGATGCGGACAGCGTGTTCATCACAACTGCCACTGATAATATAATCCCTTCCATTCATGTAATACGAACGGGTGTAGTTATATGCACTTCCTGTTGAAGTTATGTCGAAATTCATGTGGAGCCTTCCATCTACAGCCGACAGTTGCTTAACCTGACATCAATTAACGGTTAGAAACAATCTTAAACCCATAAAAGAAGGATCAAGTTAAATATTGCTGGATAGAGAAGCCAAACACACAGACCTAGCAGCAGGCTCTAATAATGACATACGTTGCAGAGAGCAATTGCATGGAAACATCTCTTAACAGGTCAAAATTTCAGCAAGATAGGATTTTGAAATTCAATTGGTGAAAAATCATCATTTTGACTATGCAGTAATTTACACAAGTTAAGGTTTCTTTAGTGAGTTTATTAAACCATCATTTTGACTATGCAGTAATTTACACAAGTTAAGGTTTCTTTAGTGAGTTTATTAAACCATAAAATCCACTCATTTCTATGATAGTACCTCGTTGTCCACAGCTGAAACAAGAAGATAGAGGTCATCAGGAGAAAAGCAGACCATCACATTTCCTCTTGAACTTGAAGCTGTATAGCAAGGCTGTTCTTGTTTCTGCCTCAAATCCCACATTTTGACGTCACGGTCAAATGATGAAGTAACAAATATAAAGGGGGAATGATGGGCAAATTTGGTAACATTAATGGGCTCCCGATGCATGTTAGTGAACACTTCTAACTGTTTTCCACTGTTAATGTCATATAGAGCAACATTTTTAGAGTAACCACTAGCAAGAAAATGATCATCTGTTGAATTCACATGTATAGACGTCAACTGCTCGAAATCTTTAAAATTGACCACACCAGAATTCTCCCATGGATCTGCAACTGTATGTGGCATATGATTGGTGTCAAACAACCTAAGGCATCCATTATCTGAACCTGCAACAAGCTGGCAGTTCACACAGTAACATTAGTAACTGCCACACTTAGACAAGGAACAATGTGGAGAAAGAAAATATTTACTCTGAGGCATTTGATATCATTCCCTTTTGTTTGCGTTTTCTCAGCCAGTACTTCAGGGTAAGTACGTGGCTGTTGCTTGATTTAGCCATAATATATATGTAGAATGATTAAAAGGTTTAACCAACAACAAAAAATACTACAAAGTTCAAATAACAGATCACTTTGACATTTCAAATTAACTCATGAACTTGAGAGCTCAGGGACACAACCTACCACATATCAAAAGCTCAAGTATTTTGTCAAAAGTAACACTTCCTCTCAAATTATCAAATTTACTAGACAACATAAAACATCCTTAAAAACAAACAGTTAATTAAGAAGCATGCCACTGCCATCAATAATAGCTCAAATTCCAAAATATGTCAGTAAGGAGTTTACCTTGGACGGATACTTCTTAAGCCAACAGAGCCCCAGAACACTGCTCGTCACTCCTATGGTTGGGATATAATTAGAAATGTTCCCATTTTCATGGTTGATAACAACTACTTCACCATCCAGTGTTCCAAAAGCCATAAGACTAGAATTAGATGGATGATACTCAAACTGCCTTGGACGAAGCCTCTTATTTTCTTCTTTATATACATGACTAAAGCTTGACAATGGATGTAAGAGTGGGCATGCAGAAGACCCAAGCTTAGCAGCACTAAGCGACCTCGAGAAGAAATGCTGACTCTTTCTGCAACGATTAGGCTTATTTAGCTTTGAAGAACTTTGGTAATACATACCACTTGTTCCCATTTCACGCTTCTGCAAAACATTAACCATATTTTCTTTGTGCTTTCTCTTATATGGTAAATACTCAAAGTATTTACAAAAGACATACTTTGCCATTTCTCTATCCATCTTTCCAATACGCAAATTGTCTAAAACTTCTAAATGAGGTAATGATGCAACCATGTACTCCCGATAGTGTTTCTCAAAGCATATGGGTGAAGGATGGTGGGAACTATACTTCTTTAATTTAACAGTAGCAGTCGGCACATCCTGCTTATGCAATCTTACTAGAAGTTCATGATTGTCAAGAATCTACAATATGCCAAAAGAAACCTGTTAGACAAATTGGAGAAATCCAAAACCAATAGATTACAAATCAAATGTTCTCATAAGAAACCAAATACATCAATCTCATTAGTATATTATGTAGTTACCTCATCTGGTATTTCAAAACGTCCATTCAAATTTGGAAGGGCATCAGATGATAGCTCAAGTAAATTCATTCTCTGAAGGTAGTTTGAAAGCTCAACTGCATAAGTATCTGACAAATTCTTATATCTGTCATGATTCTCGCTATCTTTTACTCTGTCATCAGCAGCAGAAGCTTGATTTGTAACATCTGCACCACTAACTGACGTTAAATCACCATTTGCATTCTCACCTGACAATGCAGGACATGCCCCAGTGTGCTTGCAACACAAACAATTTTGGAATCGTAATTCCTTTAGGGAAGGGAGTTTTGATAGGGCAGCGGTAGTTGTCCAGAGATTAGAAATTCGGGTCTCGCACATTGAAAGACACATCAGATTTGGCATGCAAGAAAAACAGTCCTCATGAAAACTAGTCAGGGAAGTACAAAAATCCAAATTTAAGGTGTGTAAATGCATGAATTTTCCATCCATGTTGAGCTTCCTGATATTGGTCGACCTCAGGTTAAGGACATGGCATGCCAAACCACCCTGGCAGAGATCCCTGAAAATAAGCCAAAGACAAAGAGGTCAAGGTATTATTCAGTTGGAAAACAACTTCCTAGCTCCTAAGCTTCATCTTTGTAAAATACTATCAACTGGTGACAACAAATATATTACTTCCTAAGCAAAATAAAAAGGTAAAAATTGTTCATCAATATGGAATCAGTAGAGTGCAAGAACCATAAAGGAAACTAATAATGAAAGGTGGAAGTTGAATGTAATCTATCATTGAAACACATCCTTCTTTACTAAAATCATTAGAGACTAATTAATGAATGTATATATTTTAGGGGTGGCAAAACGGATTGGCATATCATGCTTGTGTCATGCCACTAAGAGTTATAACAAAAATTTTGTCAACACAGATCCAACACATTTAATTAATCGTGGCAGAGGTGCCAACACAAATATTTGTGCAATATAAATTCAAAGATACTTATGCAAAAACATTATGAAGACAATTTAACTCCATCAACAAAAAAAATGCACCTATAAATTCCTATGGTAAGTCAAGCCGTCCCAAGTCTTGCAAAAGAACATGAACCAAAATTCAGAATAGCCCACTGCATCCCTAATGCATAATGCACTAACAAATTAAAGAAACTTACAGATAAATGATAAGTCCCTTTACTTTTGCTTTTCTTTTTTTTAATTTCCCCTTTACCCTTCTCCTTCTTTGCTGTGTATGCACACTGCATATGTGACTTACGGATTTGTAATTGATTTTTTATTATCAAATCAAGTAGTGTGTGGCACATACTAATTATTCTAGCCAGAACTGTTGTTTGATAGAACCCATCAGTTTACCATAAATCTTATCCTATAGGAAATGGATGGATCTTATCTAATGGGCCCAGCAAAATTATTCCCAGAATTTACAATATAAAGATAAGTTACATATTGTTCCAGAGATGTAGGATTGTTGTCTACTGATATATCTTTTTCAAAAGAACTACTTTTGTTTTACAGCTTGCCAAGGATTACGAACTCTGTTGATAAGGTGGGAAACAATGTCTAGAGTAAGAAATTGATCTATATAATTAAAAAAAGACAGGATTACAATGCAGCATAACTATGATAAATGCATGAAAAAATAAAAAGGCAAAAGAATAAAAAATGATAGACGGTATTCATGGATAAAGCATGGGAAAGAACTAATACAAACCGCTAAATATCATTTGTCAGTGCCATCTGGCTAAGATCAACTAATCGAAGCTTTTGGTTGATTGTATGCATCAAAGACATAATATCTTCTTTTTTCAAGCAACAAGATGTTCCGTGAAGTATGTCCACAGCATCAATATCAGAGGATTCAATTTCCCGGAACATGTCAATTAGCGGAGAGATATCAGCATTCTTTAACTTATTTAATAAAACCACAATTGTACACTTCTGTTGGCAAGAGTGCCGAATCTTGGCCTGAATAACAAGAAGACAAGTTTAAATAAATAAACTTTCTTGTCGTCAACAATAATTAATGCCGGGTTAAAGAAAAAGGAAACATTTATGTTCAAACCCTGAACCAAATTTGAGAAAAACAAAAATGAAAATTAAGCAGTAACAAATTATGGTAAGTAGAAACAGAGCTTCACCCGTGGCGTTTAATACTAGTTTTAAAGAAATTGAAAGAACGAGTCCGTGATAAAAAGATATCACTGTACAATTGCATAAAATCACGGTTCGTTGATAAAAAGGTCTCTCTGTGAATATGAGTGCCACCGACACTCTGGTTAGTAGAATTTAGCAGACTCCAAATGTTAAGGTTTAGCCTTTTTTAGCACAGATGTCAGTGACATAACTAGTATTTATAGCAGCATTAGCAACTAAAGATTGAGAAGTAGAGTGATTCATCAACTCGAGAAAAGACTATATTACAAATGGGTAATATTACAACCCAAGCTCACAAATTTTCGTTCACTGGCAAATGGGTCTCACCCGCTCGCTATAGGTCCATCTACCTATTTGCGAGCTCACTAATTACTAACTTTAATAACTATCACGTCGTGATTGTGAAAAAAAGTTTATAGGATTGAGTTGTGATAATTTTTATCCACCACAAAAATACCTCAGATAACCACGATGACACAGTAGAGTTGGGTAGCGTCTCAAGCTTCCTGCAAGAATCAATATACCTGCCACCCAAATTCTGGAATTAGTAAAAGAAGGAATGAATACAATACGTGGAACTAACAAAATTATTGCATTAATCAACATAATTTTGATTATAAAAAAAAAAAATAAATAAAAAAAACAAATCAAAGGAGAGAAAGATACCGAGCTTCTAAGCTGGTTATATCCAGGGTCATGATTATTTGTGAAATTCTCTTCTTGCGGCTGTTGTTCACAGTCAAACAAACGTTGATCAGAGAGTTGAGAAAGCTAGAAAGCTAGTGTATGAGATAAGTACAGAGAACGGACTAAGGAGCAGTGGCTTTGTAGTTACAAGTAAAGTAGCTTCTCTGTCAAAGGATAAGCTACAGAACCACCACTGTCTCTGGTCATATCATTTCACTTTTGTCTACTTGTCGCCAGTCGGTGCTTATTGGCGCTACGTTTCAATTTATGGATTAGCTTAGCACCCACCTGACCCGACCCATCAACTCTACCCGCCCCGAGCCGTGTAGATTTTGCATTTTGCAATGATTATTAGAATTTTACGTGTTTCAGAAAGATGGAGTCAACATCATGTCTCCATCATCCACAACATAACATTTTCTTTCTTCTTTTTTCTTCATCACACGTATTAATAATAATAAAGAAGATATTAGGGCTGATATTTGGTTGCCTGCTTCACGTATTTGGCACGTTATAAAAGTTTTCTTACCAATGATGAATTATTGGAGTGGGGACATATTTAATTAATCTGTGGTTGGTGATGGGCAATTGAAAGAGTAGGTGAGCTAGGAAGAAATTTCACTTTATAATTAATGCGTTTCCGTGAAGATATCCCTTATCCTTATTCTTCTGGTTACTGTGATTAATCATGTATATTTATCCATTGTAAGAGATAGTTGGGATTTGATGAGGATATAGTATTTTTTAATTCATGAAAATCCAATCTAGTACCAACCAAAAATCAATTTATATAGATGAATTACAGAAGATTACAAATGAACCAGAATTATACCATGCATGGTTGTTATTAGGGGAATGTCCTCTTCAGCAGTGTCAAATGTCAATCCAAGTCCTCTCACGGCCTCACCGCCCTGGCTATGAAAAGAGTGTCTTTTTTTTTTTTTTTTTTTTTTTTTTTTTTAAATACTAAATATTCTTGTTTAATACCGACCAGAAAAGTGTTGACAGAAGTTAAAAAACAAATAAGGAATCTCGTTTATCAAAAAGTAGCTTACCCTCTTCAGGAATCAGGATTAAGCACTTAACGTAATTAACTCCGTTTATGGATTTCGAATTAAAATAATAATAATAATAATCACAATGGGCTCCACTTTTTGAATCACTCACTCTTTATATCCGTTTGATTTGGAATTTGATTATAATTATTTACAACCATTTAAATCCGTTAGTTTTGAGGACTGATCTGCGAGTGAAAAATAAATTGTCCTGAATGGTTGTAGCGCCACAAGCGAGGGAGGTCACAGTTTTTTTTATCTTATAATTACCGATACATGTTGAGATTCTTAATTAACGGCTAATAAATAAGAAGATCAGGAGTATTATTTAGAGTAAACATATTTCCCACCCAAGGTTTGCCTTAACGACATGTTACACCCAAAAGGTTTCAAAACACTATTTTTTCACCCAAAGTTTATATTCTGTTAATACTGAAAATACACTTCACTTTCTCATCCAGTGTTTGGTGAGTTACCAAGAGCCGAAGTAAGAGAAGTTTTACAGAGTGGAGTCTGGTGGATCAAATAGTGATGATTGATTGAATATTTACCGTTTAAATTAGCTAGAAATCAACTAAAAATAAAAAACCCTAGCTTTGTAGTTGCCAACAATCGGCGAGAAATCAGATATCGGACTAAAAGAGGTTTTATAGAGAAGAGAATAGAGATTTAAATGGTAGTAACATAGAGAATTTTTGCCATCAGAATCTGTCGAAATCAATTTTAGGTATTGACAGAATATAAATTTAAGTGAAAAAGTAATATTTTGAAACTTTGGGATGCGAGAAAATCCTTGGGCGGGAAAAAGTATTTACTTTTATTATTTATTAATAAATGGAGGCTTCCGACTGGGCCTATCACCTACGTAGTAGCTCCTCATTTATTTGGTCCCTTATTATTATTATTTTTTTTTTTGGTCGAAAAAAAAAATCAAATTGAAATTCATGGACGACATTTATACACTATTTTCATTTAATATTAGACTAAATTTTTTAGTGGGGTCATTTTTTATTTTAGAAACGATGATAACGTATCCACCACCTAAAAATCTCAATATAGAATATGTATCTGAACTTTGACTCATAATTTTTTATAAGACTCAAGAAATTATCAGAATAATGGATTTGCGATGTTGCAATTGTTAGAATGTCATGATCAAATTTTTGGAAAGGATGGATAATATAACATTGTTGGAGCAAGTTAAAGAGGTTTTAAGAGTAACGCTGAATGCCGAGTGTCTTTGGTGATGTAAGTTATGCTCATGAATAAGCTTATTAAAGAAGGTATATGCAGATGTATCTAGGTTATATTGAAGATTAATCTGCTCCTTGGAATTTTATACATCTAATTAATTATTTAAAGCTATCGCTTATGTTCTGTTTTTGTCTTCTGCTAAGGGGAGAATCATCTTTCTGTGATCCTAATAAGACAAGGGGGCAGAAATAGAACCATCTTTTCTATGATCCTTACTCATTAGAAGACTACTAAGACAAGGATTAACTCTCATCAGGCTGAAAACTATTAGAGAAGATTCAGTCAGGAGAAGAAGTAGTTAATGACCTTTGTTTTAAATTTATGATCTCTTATCTGTGTATATATGTTGAATGAAAACGCCAGCAGCCAAATTCCTTCTTCCTGCTCATTCCTGCTTCAATTATTAAAACAACTAAAAATTGATCTCAACGTTGTTGATTTCTATTTTATAACTATATAATTCAATGCTGGTTCCAAGCATTTACAAAATAAGAGATTCTGACTGGATCCTCTTTGCAATGTGGGTGATCTAAAATCTCTAGTATGCATTTTGACTTATGGTCCAACATTAGAATTGAGCTGTTGATGCTCTGGCCCATTACTACACCTCCTGATATTTTCCTTTTATTTATGTTGATCTACGCACCTTGTATTTTCTAGTTTCAAGATCCTAGAGGTTATTTATTTTTTTTTTACTAATATATCGTCACTATTAGAATTATGTGCTCTCAAAAACTAATTTTTGGTTTATGTAATTAATTTCATATATATTATTTTATGGGTGTTTATTATTTGGTTATTATATGAGATATAATATACAATTATTTAAGGACATTGTAAAAGATCATGGTAGTGATTAATAAACGTAATCTAAATTTTTTATAGGCATTTATTATTTAAATTATATTATATAGTTATTATGTCTATACTTCTTATGTTGCTATATGATAGAAATTAGAATGATTTATTCCATCGTTGAGGTATGACCTTAAGCAAACAAGTACATGCACAAAACAAGATCAAGTAAAGTATACCCTATAAGTAATCTTTACTAAATATATAGAATGGGTAACTTTGCTACAATTGGCTAATTGTCCTTAGACCTAAGAGACTTATATGTTTCTGTTTATTATTTATATGACTTTGATGTTACCGACTAATGATGCTAATCTATAGACTATATACAGGCACTTTGGGTTATATTTATAATATGTAGATTACATAAATGCTCAACATATAATCCACTATTCTCAAGTGTGAGAAAGTATACTCAACTGATTTTCATATAAGCATTAGAATTAAAGAAAGTTAGACCAATGGGTTTACAAAAATAGTTTTTTGTATTATATTATTTATATCTATATATAAAATGTTTTTTTTTTTTAATATTGTTAAAGTCCAATTAGATTATGAAAACCAAATGATTAAATATTTGCACGAATTAAGTGATTCGTGTGGAGTATAGTATAGTGGAAAGACGTATGAGTGTAAATTGTATTAAAAAGCCAGGTTTAATTTGTAATTCTCTTATTCTTCGAGGTAAATTGTATTACGTTGACGAACATTATTGCTAACTAAGGTCAAATGTAGCAATAGAAGTCCAAAATTGGTCGTCCTAACCTTTGTGTAGAAAATTCCTTAAAAGAGATAAAATAGCGCAATCGATTGCTAACTAAGGTCAAATTTTTAATTATTGTATAGAATTCATAAATATTATATGTTAGATCTTGGGTTTTATATTTAAATTAGTTTTTAAATAATGTAATTATTGTGATATAATTCTGTGAGTCACAACTTTAACATTCAAAAATTTTAAATTTAGATTTCATAATTAATTCAACTTTATGATTTAATAAAAAAAAAAATTAACTTTTATAAGCTTCATTACATTATAAGAATTTCTAAAAATGTTTTCTTTTCATTAATTTTAAGAAATTTTATGGTGCATTTTATTAGTATCAATTAAAGAATTTGTATTATTACATGGTGTTATGCCTGAAAAATATAGGACTGATGTAAGATCCAGTCAGCGTACAAAAGTCAAAACATAGGTACACCCGCATCCTGCTTCTGTCAGAATAGTGGGTGCGCGTCAGACCAGCCAGAAGCTGTGGTGATCCCGCGTATCCAATCTCTGCACCAAATCGTGCAAATCACTCTAGAAGGTGGGCAATGTGACATAAAGAATGATTTGCACGGATAATCCCACCAACTCACAGATTCAATAATCATAATCCCAATGCATCTTACTATAAATTGAGAGCTCAACTCTCATTCAAATGATTGGCTCATTTTACTCTTGATTGGCCTCTCACTCTCTCTCTCTATAATTTATAGCATTCACTCGCTTGTACGATCATTTGTAAATCAGTTAGTTAATGCGACCTGACCTATATCATTAATAAAATAACAGTGGACGTAGGATTTGCTTCCTTAGCATCCGAACCACTTTAAAAACGTTTTTCTCATTGTATTTACTCCATTTTTCTTGCATTCACATGTGTCTTCTGAACCAGCTTAGCATTTCACATGTGCGTTTCGTTGGTGTAAAAATCACGCATCAACAGTTTGGCGCTAGAAGGAGTGTCTGATTTAGTGTTCATCTTTCATCAAGAGAATCTCTAACCCACTGGTCCCACAACAACAAATGACCCGCCAACCTGAACCTGAGCAAACCAACCAAGGTGCTGAGGGGACCCCCCAAGTCCAGGGGGACGCCTCTTCCAAAATACATTCAGCTCCGCAAAATGCTGCCGGGGATATCTCATCAAGTTCATAACTTGACCCTGCCATTAGAAGCTACCTGGAGAGGTTCAACAATACTCTCCAGACGGTCAAACGAAGGTTGGACCGTTTGGACCAAGGCGTGCCACCCAAATCAGCTAGGGCGGTGCAACCGCCAAAAACGCCTGCAGGTCGCGTGAAAGTGCAGCAAAGGAAAATAGCCCGTGTCGCGAG